GGGTTATAGATGAAATTAAATAGTATCTATAATTAAATGATAATGCCAATACATTGTAACAGAACATAAGGAACACAATGAAAGCAGTCCTAGGAGGGAAATTTACAGCACTGAATACCCATAGCTGAAAAACAGAGCAAGCTCAAATAACCTACTGTTGAACCTCAAGCTTTTAGATCAAGGGCAGGTCATGCCTAAAGCTTGTAAAAAGGAGGATGTTATAGAGAACAGAGCAGAAGTTAAAGCAATGGAGACTAACAAAATAATACAAAGAGTCAATGAAACAAAGAGTTCTGTGTTACATTAAATGAACTTGACAAACTCTCAGCCAACCTTATTAAAAACAAAAAAGACCCAAACACATACAATTGGGAATCAAAAGGTGGAAATCACAAGAAGCCCTACAGATATTCAGAAGATCCTCAAAACCAAACCTACTTTGAGAATGTGTATTGTAAGATAGAAAACAAAGAAGAAATAGACAGATTCCTAGTTACATATGAATTACCACAGCTGAATCAAGAAGGTATAAAAATTCTAAATAAATCAGTATCTGTCAGTGAAAGTGAAGATGTAATTAAAAACCCATCAATAAAGAAAACCCTAGGCCCTGACAGATTCACTGCTGAACACCACAAGAAATTTAGAGAAAACCTAATACTACTACTTCAGTCTCTTTTAAGAAATTGAAAGAGAAGCCATACTCCCAAATTCATTCCTGGAAGCATGTATTATCCTGATACCAAAACCAGAAAGGAATCCAATCAATCCTTGACTGCAAATTATACTACAAAGTTATTGTGATAAAAACTGGCAAAACAAAACAAAACAAAACAACCAGACTCAAGGATCAATGGAACAGATTTTAAGATGTAGAAACAACTCCAGCATACTCAATCATCTTATCTTTGACAAAGGAGCCAAACATACTCACTGGAAGAAAGATAGCTTCTTTAAGAAATGGTGCTGGAAAAAACTGGCTTTCCACATGCCAAAGATTACAACTAGACCCATATCCCTTCCCAGGCATTAAGCTAAAATCCAAATAGCTCAAAGACTTCAATATGAAAATAGAAACAACTCCAATCTGCTGGAAGACAGGTAGAACTGAAGACTTTGGTATAGGCAAAGATCTCATGGAAAAAAACCCCAATTGCAAAGCTTCTATCAGAAATAATCAACAACTTGGACTGCATCTTATTCAAAATCTTTTGAAAAGCAAGAGAAACTACCAAGAGAGTGAAGAGACAACCCACGCGATGGTAAAACATTTTTGCCAGCTGTTCCTCAGACAAAGGATTAATGCCTAAAATATATAAGGAGCTCAAAAATACAGAACCACCCCCAAATTCAAAAAATGGGCATCAAAAATGAACAGACCCTTCTCAGATGAAGAAGTAGCAATGCTAAAGAAATACATGAAATACACGATAAGGGGCTGGGCGTTTAGCTCAGTGGCAAAAGCACCTGCCTTGCAAGCAGGTAGTCGTGAGTTCGATCTCTGGTACCTCTCTCACTAAGTCACCTCTCCCATTAAATAGGCACCAGAAAAGCTAACATAAAAGAATAAACAATGGGGGCTGGGGATTTAGCTCAGCAGCATAAGTGCCTGCCTTGAAGCAGGTGGTCATGAGTTCGAGCCCTGGTACCAGTTTAAAAAAAAAAAAAAAAGAATGAACAGTGTCAGGGGTAAAGATGATATGCGCACTGACTTCTCACATGCTGTTGGTGTCAGTACAATGCCACTTTTAGCAATATCTCTTAAGGCTGAACAAATGCATGGGATATCTATCACTCCACAGTTCTCTGCTTTTTTTTTTTTTTTTTTAAAGGATCCGAGGGCCAGGGATATAGCTTAGTGGCACAACTCCTGTTTGGCAACACAACGTCCTGAGTTCAAGTCCCATTACCTCGCCCCCCAAAAAAGACAGGTTCTCAGTATAAAGCCCAAGAGGGGCGCAAACTCGCAGTCTTCTTGCCTCAACATTCTGCCCTGCTGAGTTTATAGGCATATGCCGCCATGCTCAGCCATAGCTTCACTCTCATACACAAAAGAAATAATACACAAGAATACTCAGGATAGAATTGATAAAAACTGGAATCAACCTGAATGTTCATGAATAGAAAAGAACAAATTTTGATATATTGGTATGCTGGATTACCAGACAACAGATGAGAATAGGCAAAAAATATAGGACACAGGTAAATCTCATGAACAATGAAACAACCAAGAAACACAATATAGGTACTATTTTACTTCATTTAGTCAAGAAGAAGCAAAAATAATCAATGGTGAGAGATCAAGACCAATGTTAGAATTGGAGGAAAGGTACAAGGATTCCTCATTTAACCACCAAGTCCTATTCCTGTCAGTACAGCGTTAAAAGAATTAGTTGCTAAATGAGGAGCTGTATATAGTACATACATTACAACACTCAGCACAAAGAAATGGTCAAAGGAAACTCCAACTTGATGACTTTGCCTTTATTTGCACAACTTCTATGCAGTATATAATGTACAACAGAACATGAAACTACAGTACCATAGAGTACCATCAGAAAAAGTATAGTACTGTATAAACATTACAAACTAAAAAAAAAAACAAACCATTGAGAATCTCTGAACCAGATGTGCAGAACTTTACAAAAAACAAAAAAAGAGGAGGCATAAGTCTGAGCAGCAGGGAAGTCCAAACAGTTGTTAAGCAGGTAATTAAATGAGAAACACCTGTACTGGAAACTAGGCAGGGGCTTCCAGTGTTTCATTTTGATGTAGGAACTGTTTCTCAAGTGTGTTGGCTCTATGGAAAATTCGCTGAGAAGATTTCTGATATTTGCTATAGTTGGGGGCCTTCATTCTGAGGAGCATTCTCTGCTCTCTTTTTATTTTTTATTTAAGACAACTGCTAAGTTTCTCAGGCTGGGCTCAAATTTTTGATCCTCCTGCCTTGGCCTCCCTAAGGGTTGAAGATTCCAGGAATGCACTACCATGCCCAGCCTTTTACTTCAATTTTTAGAAGTAGGGCACATTCTGACCTGCCTACCTAATGTGCCAAAAGTACACCGGGCACTTACTTGACAGGCCTCTCTAGTCAAACAACTACCAAAGATGAGCCTGATTCCAGGAAAGGAAAAGGACCAAAACAAGTTTGTTTCATGGTTTCTGTGTTTCTGAAATGCTGCATCAGGTGCTCAGATGGTGACGGGACCTGGTGGCATCATCACATTATGCACTAAACTAAGCATTTCCAGGCTGCTACACTGAGAACCCCCCAGAAACAAATCACCAGGCAACCACCTCATCAGCAGGTGTGACAACACCCACTGCCTGAAACCAACTCTACAAAACTCCTGTCACTTCCCTCTCAGGTCCTGCCTGCCTGTTTTTTCCAAAAACTGAATAGATTAACTATGTATTAGATAAACTGTAGATATATCTCAAATTATAGTCAATATATTACAAAAACAAAACTAAACCATCACAAATTTACAAATACCTGTATATACTATAAAATCCTTCACATAAACTGCTCCCCATTACCTCCCTACACAAATACAAGTTGGCCAGTTCTTATAATCTTCTATAGTAAAATCTGACCTAAATAAACTCTGACATTTATAAGATTCCAATGAGAAAAATCTTAATGTGACTAGGAGGGATGGAGCTCAGTGACAGAGCACTTAGGCAAACACAAATGAAGCCCTCCTTCAACCCTATGCTCCACAAAAGCAAACAATTTACTGATTTTCTAACCAACAAAAGAAACATATAGCACTAACATCAAATTATTGTTTCTAAAAAGGAAATTCAAATGCTTGGCTTATTAATCTTTCAGGAGAATTGACTATAGCCAACAAATACATTAGGGCTAGTGTTCATTTGCCGATTTATCACTGCAGACTCATCATGACAGCATAGATGTATGCTTATTCAGGTCTACCTGAATGGACCAGAAAGGCAACTATTATGAACAAGTAAAATGGTACTCGATGGCTTATAAACACCTAAATAATAAGCTACTTATCTCCCACTATGCTGTGTACCATTTACCTTACATTTTTCTAGTTTTACTATGTTCTCCCTTCGCATGCCATTCAGTCTCCATTTAATTCCACAAGAGGCAGTTTTGAGATACTGGGCTGAATGTAATATAATTAAAGAAAGAACTACAGTTGTTTCCAACTTTGAGGTGGTTTTTACTTTTATATATTTGTTTTTGGTACTGGGGATCAAACTCATGACTTTATGCTTGCCAGGCAGAAGCTTATGCTGCTGAACTAAATCCCCAGCCCAGTTGTTTTAAACTTAGAAGTCTAGTCTAAAAGGAGAAAGTTCCTAAAGAATAAATTTCCAGTTTTCTATCCCTTATTACAAATGTGATTTACAAACACCGGTATTCTGTAAAGATCGTCTGTAAAAATTTTTCTCTGTGAAATCAATCCTTGTCTACCAAATTTCAAGGGCTAGAGATAATATCTCAGCAGCAACAAGCATCTGCTTGGCAAGAGCAAGGTCCTCAGTTCGATTCCTGATACCAAAAACAAAAAAAAAAATTATTATCTACTAAATTTCATTAGAAAACTGCAAATCCTTGAGATACAATCCTAAACACACATACAATTCCTGAGGTACAAGCCATGGGAAGCCTACATTAAGCAAGAGATCTCACAAAACAGAATCAAAGAAACCAAGGACCATGCCGCTTGGTTGTTGTTTCAAGTCTTTTTAAAAAACCTTCAAAGTGCATTCCCAAATCTTTAGCAGTTCCTCAGCGAAGAGTGAAAGTAGTAAGATATTTTCACATGACTTTACAGAACACTAGTTTGTTTGCCCTAAGTAGCTGAATCCCCAGGAACTCTGCATGCGCTTACAAACACTAGGAACTATCATTTGACAAGTGGTTGGTTACACAAAATATACAGGTACAAAAACAAAAGATGGTACCACAGAAAGACACGTAACAGAAAAAACCTGTAGTTTCAGGTGAAAACCACACATACCTGTGGAAGCGCAGTATTGAGTTGTCTCTGCAACGAATCTCTCTCATGACCAACCTCGAGTAATTTCCCCTGGGTCAACGCCAATGTTTCTTGAGTCTCTATCAGTGTGCTCTGAGCAATGTCTGTTTCTTCTAGCATGGACATCATGTGCTGTTCAAAATGGGAATCTGCATCTGGTTGTGAAGGGCAGCCAGATCCATGGTTTTCACTTCCTCCTGAAGGGCCTTCTTCACTGATGGTGGGCATCACCTCACACATCATTTTGGAACAAAAACACAGGACTAGTCATTATACGGAAAATACAGGTTCCCACAAATCTACAACTTTATGAGTATCTGTAGCTAATAAAGGAAAGCTGACAATCTCTTTATTCACAGATCTGTTATTCTTTGGATGCAAATACTCTGTGAAGATACACCCAGGCACCCATTAAATGCAGAAAGCCACCACATGAAGACACTAAAGAAGACAACAACGCTGGGAAGATGTAAGGCCCAAAGAGAGCTACTTATTTCTCCTATAAAGAATAGAGCAAACCATGTGAGGTTTTGTTTGCAAAAGCAAACTTTTTAGTTTTGAAAACAAGTGCGCTTCTGTTACCTAGTTTTTTTCTATTTCCTGGTAGGGGCCCATTCCACTCAATCCTTTTTCAGGAAAAGCACAGAAGCAGTATACAGCCAGGAAAACTGACAAGTACAAAATCCAACAGGCATCTTACATCTTACATCTTATTGACTGTGTGCAGTCAGCTCCTGGGAAGGCCTGCCTGAATTCTTGGGCTTAATTTAGTGAACACAGAAAGGAATTGGATTTGCTATGGCTCAAGAGAGATGTTTTTCAAGGACTGCAGTGGTTGTTCAGTCAACCTAACTTAAGTTTACAGCTAAAAAAAAAAAAAAAAAAAAAAAAAAAGAAGGCTTCACAATGGAAATACAGCAGTTCAGTACAGTGGAGAATGGTTAGGAAGGAAAGGTGAGAGGTACGATCATGAGAGGCTATTAAGTGTGTCACATAGACAGACGGGCCTAATGAGGGCGACAGGGATCGCTGAAGACTTCCAGGTAGTACCCCAGGCAGGTGCGACCCTCCAGCAAGAGATCCCCGCGACCGCACACCTGACCACGATGATTTCTAGCACCTCACCGGGTGCTGTACAAGTTCTGGCCCCACTTACCCTAGAGCTTTCCAGGACGCGGCCATACAGGCGAGTCCACAGTGCCATCACTGGGGTCTCCTGGGCAACGTGCAGTGGTTTAGAATCCGTCCCTCGAGACCTAGGGGGTCCTGCTAGCCGCGAGCAGGACCAACCGCCAGCGCAGGACCAACCGCCAGCCAAGCGCTGAAGCTTTGCCCCCGCCCACGCGCACCCCCGGGTGACATTTGGCGGGTGGCCCCTGGCCAGCTCCAACCTTCCTGCCTCAGTCTCCCGCTCCTTACCTTGCGCGCAGTCTTTTTTTTTTTTTTTTTTTTTTTTTGTCTTTTTCATTTTTATCGGTACCAGGGATTGAACTCACGACCGCCTGCTTGCAAGCAGGTACTTATGCCGCTGAGCTAAATCCCCAGCCCCCCGCGCGCAGTCTTTTTAAACATTGCGATATAAAACAAAAACCATTCTTAAAAAGCAAAAAGGGTTCAGTTGACTTAAGAGTTGTCATCACTCGGGGGCTGGGGGTTTAGCTCAGCGGCATAAGCGCCTGCTTTGCAAGCAGGCAGTCGTGAGTTCGATCCCCGGTACCGATAAAAAGGAAAAAGACAAAAAAAAAAAAAAAAAAAAAGAAGGCTTCACAATGGAAATACAGCAGTTCAGTACAGTGGAGAATGGTTAGGAAGGAAAGGTGAGAGGTACGATCATGAGAGGCTATTAAGTGTGTCACATAGACAGACGGGCCTAATGAGGGCGACAGGGATCGCTGAAGACTTCCAGGTAGTACCCCAGGCAGGTGCGACCCTCCAGCAAGAGATCCCCGCGACCGCACACCTGACCACGATGATTTCTAGCACCTCACCGGGTGCTGTACAAGTTCTGGCCCCACTTACCCTAGAGCTTTCCAGGACGCGGCCATACAGGCGAGTCCACAGTGCCATCACTGGGGTCTCCTGGGCAACGTGCAGTGGTTTAGAATCCGTCCCTCGAGACCTAGGGGGTCCTGCTAGCCGCGAGCAGGGCCAACCGCCAGCGCAGGACCAACCGCCAGCCAAGCGCTGAAGCTTTGCCCCCGCCCACGCGCACCCCCGGGTGACATTTGGCGGGTGGCCCCTGGCCAGCTCCAACCTTCCTGCCTCAGTCTCCCGCTCCTTACCTTGCGCGCATTTTTTTTTTTTTTTTTTGTCTTTTTCATTTTTATCGGTACCAGGGATTGAACTCACGACCGCCTGCTTGCAAGCAGGTACTTATGCCGCTGAGCTAAATCCCCAGCCCCCCGCGCGCAGTCTTTTTAAACATTGCGATATAAAACAAAAACCATTCTTAAAAAGCAAAAAGTGTTCAGTTGACTTAAGCGTTGTCATCACTCGGGGGCTGGGGGTTTAGCTCAGCGGCATAAGCGCCTGCTTTGCAAGCAGGCAGTCGTGAGTTCGATCCCCGGTACCGATAAAAAGGAAAAAGACAAAAAACTCGCGACCTCACACTTGCCAGGAAGGCACTGTGCTGCTGAGCTATATATCTCCGCCCCCTGGCCCTTTTTTATTTTGAGATACGGTCTCTCGTTGCTGAGACGAAATATCTGACCCCCCAGTAAGGGTGGAAAAGTTTATTTAAGCTCACATTTGTAGAGGTTTCAGTCTGTAATCAGCTGGTTCCAAGGCAAGGTGGTATAAAGCAGAGGGCAACAGTTCATGGTATTGGAAAACAGCAAAAGCAACAAGGCAAGCAAAGGACAAACCTCACCAGGGATTTAGCTCAGTGCCTCAAGCGCTTGCCTGGTAAACGCAAGGTGAGTTCAGTCCCCGGTACCAAGAAAAAAAGACAGATCTCTTTCTATGCCTTATATTGTATGCAGGCTACCCACACATAGGACAGATGCAGACTCAACATCCTTAATCCTAGCATTGGACCATGAATTGATCACAAACTCTAGAGCCAGCCACTTCCAAAAAGCCACGCTCTATGACTGCATGAGGCTATTGGGGGACATTCAGACACAAACTAACAGGATCCCAAAGTTGCCTAGGTTGACTTTGAATTTGCAATCCCCCTGCCTCAGCTTTTGGGTAGCTGGAATTATAATCATATATCATCATGGTTTGTCATTTCTACTTTGACGTTAACAAAATAAGAAATAATTACCAAGCTAGTTGTTTTTTATCACCCCATTCTTTGTCATGCTTACAGTATTGTCTCAAATTGTTTTTGTTTAGTCCCTGTTTTCAATCATTTTTCTTTGTTGTTTTTGGTACCGGTAATCGAACTCATTACCTTGTGCTTGCCAGGCAGGCACTGTGCTGCTGAGCTATAGCCCATTCTTTGTTGTTTTTAATATTTAGCTCTTACCCCATTGTAGATTAACAGTGAGTGTTTTTGTGTCCCTCATTTGGCCTTTTTTTTTGGTTTTGTTTTTGCAGTATTGGTGTTTGAAATGTGAGTCTTTGCAATAGCTACATTCCAAGTTATACTTCTTTATTTATTCAGGGTTTTGTTAGGTTACTAAATTCATTGTCCAGGCTGGGCTCTAATTTCTGATCCTCCTGCTTTATGGCCTCCTGAGTCCCAAGTAGCTGGATTTACATGCACCCAACATGCCTCAGCAGCCTTTTCTTTTTTCTGCTTTGCAGTTCTGGTGATTGAAGCAGAACTCCGAGCTACATCATCAGCACTCTTTCCCCCTTGTAGTTCAGGCTGGCCTTGCGCTCACTGTCCTCCTGGCTCAGCCTTCCCAGTGCTGAGATTGCAGGTGTCTGCTACCACGCCTGGCTGTTCTTCCCCCTTCTTTATAACTTCATCTTGAGTGTGGTCTTGCCAAGTTGTCCACATTGGCTGCAGTCCTTCTACCTTAGCATCTTTTTTTTTTTTTAATTTTTTTTTTTTGTCTTTTTCTTTTTTTTTTTTTTTTATCGGTACCGGGGATCGAACTTGCGACTGCCTGCTTGCAAGGCAGGTGCTTATGCCGCTGAGCTAAATCCCCAGCCCCCACACCCTGATATGTAACAAGATTTTTTTTTTTCTTTTTCCTTTTTTGCAGTACCCGGGATGGAACTCATGACCTTGTGTTTGCCAGGCAGGCACTTATGCTACTGAGCTAAATCCCCAACCCCTGTAATGAGATTTTTACCACTATTTTAGTCTGTATAACCAGCCAGCTTTAAGAGAACCGACAGATAGAAAGATGTATTTATAACGATTGGTTGAAAGTAGAGGAGTTACTTTAAAAGAGAACATGAATTTTCTAAAACTTATTAATTACTAGGTTAATATTATGGGGCTGGGGATTTAGATCAGTGCCATAAGCACCTGACTGGCAAGCGCAAAGTCAAAAGTTCAATCCCTGGTACCAAATAAAATAAAAATACAATAAAATAGATTAATATTAAAATATAAAGACTGCCAAGTGTGGTGGCACACACTTGTAATCCCAGTACTCGAGGGGCTGAGGTAGCCTGCTGAGGTAGGAGGATCACTGTAAGTTTGAGGCCTGCCTGGACTACATAGTGAGACTGTCGGAAAAAAAAAATTCACAAAATATACATGTATACATGCATATATGTGTGTGTGTATATATATATATATAAAATTGTGTGGGCTCAGGGTGTGTCAGCAGTGGTAGAGCACCTGTCTAGCATGAATGAGGCTCTGGATTTGATTCCCAAAAATAAACAACAAAATTCAAGAAGGAACACAATATTGAAGATTTCTTTTTTTCATTTTTCAGTTTCATTTTTGTCTTTATGTCTACTTTTTATCCATTCATAATTCTTTTTTTTTTTTCTATTTTAGTAACAGTCTACATTAGTTCTTCCCAACTTTTCATGTATCATAACGCTTGTTTATTACTGTTTAAATGCTGCATAGGCTGGGCCTGGGTACAAGCTTGTAATTCCAAGACTGAGAGGCAGAGACAGGATGAATCCAGCCTGGACAGTTTGGGGAGACCTTACTTCAAATGTCTCAAAAAATGGTTTAGGGATATAGCTGAGTATGAAGGACCTGGGTTCAGTTTCCAATAGTGAGGAAAAAGGTTGCATAATAACTTTCAAATTGTGTGAAATCTAAGAAAATGTTTTGGAATACTTGGTATGTGATTATTAAACTGAAAAGTGTAGCTATTTTTATGGCTCCATGTATATATCTTGCATAGGTAGATTTAAATATATATGTATTTCCCTAATTAGAATATTGATCTGCAAAAATATATTTTGTGTTGTAAGTATGGTTTTACATTTTTACTGAAATATTTTGGTTTTAGTCATAATTCTCTGTTGATAGTTACTGCAGAGGGAGTTAGGACCATGGCAGGAAGCTTGGAGAGGCTCCGCCAGTCTCCACTCTACATTCTGACTGGAATTGTTCCATTTTGGTGGTCTTGGGGATTGAAATTCCTATCTCTTTTTATTTTTTATTTTGAGACAAAGTCTTGCTAAGTTGCCCAAGATGGACTCAGTCTTGGGGTCTTTCTGCCTCAGTCTCCTGGAGTGCTGGAATTACAGGTGTGCGCCATAGTGTACCCAGTTGATGCTGGCTGTGTTGTCTGTGGATATGTAGGGATTTGTGTCCTCATTATCAAATGTTTATAAGCTTGTTTTCTTCCCGTGTAGCCAGGCTACACCTGAAAATAGCAGGGTGTAGTTTAGGTGGCTTGTTTTCAGAGAGTTCCTAAAGGACACTCCCTAAAGGCAAATGGGTTTAGGTCTTTACCTACAAGTCGTCACAGGGCCCACAGGGATGTTCTGAAGGCTTGGGGGTCAGGATCATGTCTTGTTCATTTGAAATGTCTTGCTGCAGGGAAGCCCAGGGAGTAGGGGATTGTATTTTACACCGTTGGTGATACTTAATAAATTGACTTTCTTGTAAGTGGCTAATACTGCTTTTTACTTTAAAAGGTACTGTACCCCACGCTACAGTGAGTTTGAAGAGCTTGAGCGGAAATACTGGAAGAACCTCACATTCAATCCTCCCATCTATGGTGCAGATGTGAATGGTACTCTCTATGAAAAGGTGGGCCTCTCTTGAAACCCTCCAGGCTGCATTTTCGGAGTTTGTAATATAATAATATCGCCCTTCCAGGCACATAGTAGGCATTTAAAAGCTTTTTGGTGAATGGGTAGAGGAACAAATGCAAGGCCTACCCCTGACTGATACACTTACTGACTTAATGGTTGGTGCTTTTGCATGTGACTGCACTTTCTTTCTCCCTCTTTGCATGTGAATGGGGCGGTGTGGTGCTCTTTTTTGGGGCTGTGAGGCATGGTCTGTGGGTGGTGGGTGATGAATTCTTGAAAGAGTGTGATGGATCTCATGAAATGACAGAAGCAGTGTGGTTTCTGCAGGAAAAACAGATCCCTGCCTGAGCTAATGAAAGGGATATGTATTTAAGAGGGGAAGCATTTAGCTTTTCAAAACTCTCATGCAAGATTCTGTAGCGAGGGGCTGGAGATTTAGCTCAGTGGCATAAGCTCCTGCCTTGCAAGCAGGTAGTCGTGAGTTCAATCCCCCGTACCGATAAAAAGGAAAAAGACAAAAAAAAAAAAAAAAAAAGATTCTGTAGTGAAAGCTATTTTAGCTAGTTGCATTGGCTTGCAGTGGAATTCTTTTTGACTTGAACTGCCTCAGGATGGTAGTAGGCAAATAATTGGCACTGCCTTTGCATGATCAGTCAAGGGGCATTTCTGAATTATCGCACAGAATAATTTTTCACAATTTATGGGGTGGAAAGTATTTCTTTGTTTATTTAGAGACAGAATTTTGCTATGTAACCCAAGCTGGCCTTATTCTGGCAGCAGCTGCCTGCCTCAGCCTCCTGAGTGCTTGGATTATAGTCCTTTGCCACCACGCTTGGCTGAAAGAATTTATTTACCAAATGAAATTTGAAGTTTGTGACAACCATTTTGGGGAATGGTGGAGTGAAGCTTCTAGGGATGAATGTTGGGTAGGTGCTGTGAGGATCCACAGATAGGGAAATGAAAAAAGAGGGCACAGTAATCCAGGACCTGCTCATAAAATGACCCTAAAGACTTAGCTTTAAGAAATTGAAGTGAAAAAAAGTCACACTATTGTTAATTCCTATGTTTTCCTTTTTTAGATTTTTTAAAAAGTTACAAATGGTTTGAAGATTTCTTTTGGAGTTCAGTTTCTTTAGCTTCCATGCAGTCTTCCTCCTGGAGTTCAGAACAAGTGATCGTCCCCCTTACTCATCGTCCCTCATGCTGGTGTTGTTTGTTCAAGGCAGCATTTTCCCTTTGTAGGCATATAGATCCTTCCCCATGCAGCTGTGCAAGTGAGCAGGCATGCTGTGTTGTTGGAGGTGGCTGCTCACCTGAGGCCTTCTATGTGGTTTGCAGGTTCAGAGTGCCAGTTTACCCTATGACGTAACTGCCCCGGCCTACCCTTTTTTTGCAGCACGTCGATGAGTGGAATATTGGCCGGCTGAAGACCATCTTGGACTTGGTGGAGAAGGAGAGTGGGATCACCATTGAGGGAGTGAACACCCCATACTTGTATTTTGGCATGTGGAAGACGTCCTTTGCCTGGCATACGGAAGACATGGACCTGTACAGCATCAACTACTTGCACTTCGGAGAGCCAAAGTCCTGGTAAATTCAGCCTGCTGTTGGAAATGGGCTTTTCTCCCTTCCTGTACCTGGAAAACACTTCTTTGCGTGTTAAAACACAGATCCTACTGCTTAACTTTTGGGGTAGAGCTGGCATTCTGTTTTTGAGACAGGTAATAAGATGGTGTTGGAGCTTGGACATGCTTGTGGGAGCAAGGCTTTCAAGAATAGCTGTACGGCATTGGGAGAGCTGGTGTCAGCTGAGTTACTGGGAGCCATGGAGCTTCGGCTGACCCGCTGCTCTCTGACTTCCGAGGGATGAATTTTTTCCTTCCTTCCTTCCTTCCTTCCTTCCTTCCTTCCTTCCTTCCTTCCTTCCTTTTTTGCTGCTACTGGGAATTGAACTCAGGACTTTGCCAAGCAGGTGCTGTGCTGCCGTGCTCAATCCCCTGCCCCTCGAGGGATTTCTAAGAGATAGATTCTCAGGCTGGAGTCATTACTTCTGATGACAGAAAGCTTTCTTTCCCTCTTGGAAACATCATTTTTTCATGAGCAGCAGTATACTTACCACAACTGTGGATCCAAGAGGCTCAGCAAGTGTTTCCTGCTCTCCGGGATGATGCGAGTCTTGGGAGACAGATGGTTCTGCTCTCTGCTGCTCTGCCCTGTCCCCAGTGTCCGCGGGCTTTTACTGAAGGTGCTGCACTCACAGCAAGCCCGGCAGATGAAGTCCTCATCTTCCCACGGGAGGAGACAGGAAGCAGAAAGTAGAGTGTGAGCAAAGCTCTGAAGGGCAAGCAGTGGTACGCAGGGCCACTTAGGAAGAGCGTGTGGGTGGAGCATGTGGGAAATGGAGAAGCCATGACGGGGGATAGCAAGCAAAGCTGAGTCCTGAACACTGAGTCGGATATAACTGGGATGATGGTGAATGGGGGAAGGTTTGTGAGAGAGAGCCGAGAGAAGTGAGTCTGGGATCTGGAAGCAGAAGAGCAGAGCTCCTGGTTGAGAGCGGAGGGCACAGTTGTTTAGGAGCTGGAGCCCGCAGGAAGAGAGTGCTAGGCTGGATGGGACTCCGTGGACCAGTAAGAGCATTAGTGAAACCATAACCATTAGCATTGCTGCTCCAGCATCTTCAGTCTCCTCTCTTCCCCGGGATTTTCCTTTTTTTCAGGTGCTTTCTAGTTTCTTTTTTTGTACCTGGAATTGAACTCATGACCTTGCGCTTACTAGGCAAGCACTTAAGCCACGAGCTAAATCCCTAGCACTTGCAGCTTCTAGAGCCATTTGAGCCTGTGCCTACTGACTGACATTGTCTTACTGCTTCCACTAGATGGCTGGATTTGGAGAGTCTGTAAATGTTGCTTTTGCATTCTCACCATTGTTTGCTCCTCAAATTCCCTGCCTTTGGGATTGCATATCAAGAAAGATTATCCAGTTGTTACACAAACTTCCTTGAGCATCTGAAATGAGACCTCCAACCTGAGTTTGGTGGTACACACTATAATCCCAGCACTCAGGAGACTGAGGCAGGAGGATTGCCCAAATTCAAGACCAGGCTAACCTCTGTAGCAAGACTGGGTCTCAAAAAACAAGATAAAACAAAAAATAATGAGATGGGCACTCTAGAGATTTCTGCAAAGTTGTTTGATGGATCTCAAAGCCCTCAAGTTGACTTTCCTCCTGTTTCCTTTTCCTAATGAAGCTATTTAGGATGACAGGTTTTTTGTTTTGTCGAGTAATTTTTTTTTGAGGTGGGCTCTTGCTGTATTGCCCAGCTGGTGTCCACCTCCTGAGATCAAGCAGTTCCTCCTGCTTCAGCCTCCCCAACCCTGTGACCACAGGATTGGGCCACTGCACCTGGCCAAAATAATCTCTTGGATACTTTCTTTCTTTTCTTCTTTCATTCATTCATTCATTCATTCATTCATTTATGTCTTTTTGATATAATGTCTCACTATGTAGTCCAGGCTGGCCTGGCTCACTTTGTAGCCTAGGCTAGTTTTTTTTTTTTTTTTTTGAAGTGGTGATCGAACTCACAACCTCAAGCTTGCTGGGCAGCCGAGGCTAATCTTAAACTTGCAGTGATCCTCTTGCCTCAGCCTCCTGAGTACTGAGATTATAGGAGTGTGCCAGCACACCTGACTGTCTTGGATGGATTATATAAAGGTTAAAAAGTTTCTGTGTTTCACAATGTAAAGTTTAATAGTTTTGGAGAAGGCACTGTCCCACTTTACTTGACTTTTTTTTTTTTTTTTTTTTTTTTGTCTTTTTTCCTTTTTATCGGTACCAGGGATCGAACTCACAACTGCCTGCTTGCAAGGCAGGCGCTTATGCCGCTGAGCTAAATCCCCAGCCCCTTTACTTGACTTTTTGAAGAGCAGTTTCTGTGATGTCTATACACCCTAGTGGGTGAAGGAGTAATTAATTACTGAGTAATTAATTTACAGTGTAAATGTTACAGTGTAACATTTATGCAGATGAAGGACAGTGGGCTCAGCAGCAGCAGCAGCAGCAGCAGCAGCAGCAGCTGGGGGCCAGGACCCTCCATGTCTCTTCTGTCTCTGCCTTACTTTCTGTTGTAATATTTAGATCTTTGATTCATTTCAAATTTAATTTAGTACACAGTGAAAAGTAAGTGTCCAGTTTTAATCTTCAGCATGTGCAAACCCCGTTTTTCCAGCACCATTTATTAAAGAGGCTGTCTTTCTTCCAGTGAATGTGTTTGGCACCTTTGTCAAAGATAAACTGGCTGACTGTGTCTGGAGTTGTTTTTGTATCTTTTTAGATGGTCTGATTTTGCAGCTCAGGGTGACCTTTAGCTCACTTTGCAGCTCACTTTGTAGCACAGCCTGGTCTTGAATTTGCAGTGATCCTCCGGCCTTAGCTGCCCAAGTGCTAGGAATACAGTCACATGCCACCATACCTGGCTTGCTTCTTTATCTTCTAATTGATGCCTCAGATCTGGGTTTTTTCTTCTTCCTGGCACCATGCTGTTTTTATCATAGTAGTTTTATAGTGCAGTTTTTTATTGTTGTTGTTGTTGTCTTTTTTTTTTTTTTTTTTTTTTTTTGATTGGTTGTTGTCTTTTTGAGACAGGGTCTTGGTATGTATTTCAGGCTGGCCTTGAGCTCACTTTGTAGCCCAGACTGGTCTTGAACTTCCAATGGTCTTGAACTTTCAGCCTTCCAAGTGCTGGGATTACAAGTGTGTGCCACCAGGCCTGGCTTTGTAGTACAGTTTTAAGTTGGAAATTGTGATGTCCCCTGCCTTCCCTTTGTTGGCCAGAATTACCTTTGCTATTCTAGGTCTTTTGTTTTCCAAATGAATTTTAGGATTGTTTTCTCTAATTCTGTGAGATACGCTATTGACATTTTGATTGGGATTGCATTAAATCTGTGTAACAGTTTTGGAAGTGTGGCCATTTTCACTATATTGGTTCTTTCTACTGAAGAACAAGGAACATCTTTCCATTTTTTTTTTCTTTATACAGTTTATTTAAAACTAACAACAGGGAAACTGAAAATGGAAATATATAAAGTAATAGAGATAGATATTATAGTTCATGGTTAATCAAAACTGTAAACACTAGAATAGGTTCTCATTATTTAAAATATTCTTCTCATACATACGGATAGTACCTCAAGCTTGAGGGTGCTAATAGGTAAGATTTTTAGTGACACTGCAGAATCTGGTTAAGACATTGAATTTCCAGTAGGAACACAAGGGTCTCAACCATCATTTCCCACAGGTAAGCAGTAACATCATTTGTAGACCCTGGGAAGAACCTTGTGTGTTCACTTATTTCTTGTCACAAAAGAGTGCTTCAGAAGCCGGGAGGCAGAGGCCACTCATGCTGGCCCACTGCTGGGCACATGGCACACAAAGTCTGCTGCATTTCCTGAGAAGTGGTCTGGCAAAGGAGGTGTGCTCCACTATAAAACATGGCTGCCATCCTGTGCATGGAAGCCAGCGGAGCCTTACCTGTGGCTGTCACAAACACTGTAACCAGTGCTTCAGATCACTCTATTTCTTGCCGTAGCCGGGCTCATTGATGACTTTGGGATCATCCAGTATGGAGTCCATGCGTGAACTTCATCATGTCACTGTGAGTGCCATTTAAGCCTGCCCCCAGGCCAAAAGCTTGACACAGCCAGAATCCGCTTTATTATTCCAGTTGGCAGCAGTATAACATTATTTCCTTTGATATCTTGATGTACCACACAGTTCTCACGGAGATTAGCAACACCTTGCAGGATTTGTTTTGTATATTTACTATGTGTAAATATTATGTCAGGCAGTGGCCCAAAACGGCCTCTAATGCTAGAGATCGAGCCACCAGGAATAAACTCCATGAAAGTGCTTACAGTGTTCTCTTCCAAACACGTCCCCAGATAGGCCACAATGTTTACATGTTTCAGCGCTTTGAGCAAAACTACTTCTTCCTGAAGTTTTCGGTATTGCTTTTCTTCAGAAGCCAGTTTATCAGAGGTGTCCAGAGTTACTTGTTTTATAGCTATTAACTGCCCTTGGCTAGTGAGACGAAAGTACACCCTTGGTCCACAGGATAGATTCTTCATGCTTCAAACTATTTTCAGAAAACATCCTCTTTTCATTTGAGGTCAGAAATTCCTTCTCCTCACATACCCTGAACCCATTACTGTACCTGTGTATTGTGGTATTTGTCATCTTTCTAATGCTTTTTTTGGTATTTCCTCTCCTCTCAGGACACAATTTAAGTTTTCAGTACCTCTTACTTGCTATTATTTGGCAAGACTTATTATCTTTTTATAACAGCTAGTAGTTCTGCAGCTAGATAATCTAATATTTCCATTGTCAATTTTTCATTCTTTACTGAATACAGAATTTCTTTGGAAATTGAACTTGTATCCTTCAAAGTTTTTCCAAACTGACTTATTTGTTCAGGATCCAAAGAATGTGCCCAGTGTTGATATGTTTGAAAAGATCTGCTTTCTTGCTTTTCTTGGAAAGAAACTTGCAAGTGTTTTAGGTTTATCTAAAACGTCAAATTCTAGGTAATTCAT